AGGAACTTCAGGTCTTAGTGAAAGTGTGATCCTGTCTGAGATATCCCAAAAGTCTCCTGAAATCATGAATAAGCCCCCATCTACTTGTCCATCTGCCTGCCTGCCTGTTTTGCCCACTAATCCACTGGCCCTCCCTCCCAGAGAATCACCCTCACATTCACTTGCCCACACACTAGCTCACTTACTCACCCATCCATTTGCTGACCATCTCCTTCCAAGCATACCACTTGAAGCATCCCAGTGAGAGAGTGCATGGGCGAGTGAGTGGGAAGGTGAGAAGAGTGTTCTCAAGTTATTTTCAACATCATTTTATTTTATTTTATTTAAAAAAATATTGTTTTGAAACAAAAATGCAGTGGTTTCCTTGTAAAATAGTCTCTCCCCCCCTTTTTTTAAAAAAAATAGGGGAAATATGTGACTATTATATGATGAAATACAGTAGTCCTTAACCTTTTGCTTTCCAGGAGGGGAGATGGGAAACTATGCTACTATCTTCTTGGGATGCCTACAAGCAGCCAAGGAAACTAGGGAGGGAGTTACTGCTCTGAACAGTTTTAAGTCCTGTTTTAAGGTACTACTAACGTGACCTCTTCCCCCAAATCAACTGCAAGCTCTTCTGTGCCTTCTTACTTGGATTCCTGAAAACAAGGGCACATTATCCTGGTTTGTTTTTTTGTTTTTTTACAGCTAAGGACATTCACATCCTATTTTAACACTTATGTAGTTCTGACCGTGGTCTATAGTAAGCAGATATTTATCAGACGAACCCAAACAGGCAAGTTGAGATAGTTCAAATTTATTTTGAATGTAATTAAAATTACCAATTTTCATGCTCACTGAAGTTCTCATCGAATGAATTCTACCACCATGAATATTTGAATTTCAAGCATCTTTTTTCTCATCTGCGAGCAATACCTTGGCCATACAGATTTTAATAAGACCCCAGATTTCCCTGTAGCCTTTGCTGAGCTGACTTGAGATGTTTAGGAAGTGAAGAATTCAGTTTAGATTTTTTTCCTGTCTTTATTTGTGACTTGATGGAAGGCAGCATGAGGAATATAGCAATCCATCTGCTTTTCTCATTTCTTTGGAGGCCTATAAAATATTCATTCCTGTGCACATAGCAGCATCAGTATATCTCTGGAAGACTGAATTGGATTCATTCCATTGTGTGTGTAAATGCATGCAGATTTTTGCAGAATCAACCAAACTAAGTTGTGTGCATATATTGAAAACTTTGGACCACTGAATCCTTTTTCCTTCCTTCTGATTTTACTTATAGTGTTTGGTGGCAAGTATGTATGGTAGACACCCAAAGACATACAGACACATATAGACAGGACCAGGCATGAAGACGGTCTAGGATTCTACTTAGTTGGTCTTTCGTCTTTTTCCCCACTATTGGGTTCTATTCTTTATTCCTTCCTTCTTCTCTCTGCATTGCAACCAAATTCATTAGAACCCCATGCCAGGCTAACAGATTGCAGTCTTGTGACCTCTTGGATCTTTTTCAGTATTTTTTCCTGACTCTTCATTAATCATTTGCTATACATTTTTCTCCTGTCCTGCCTCCTTCTAGTTGAAGCCAATACATCAATTCTGCCCTCTGTTTTAACAGTGAAGTAAAACTTTATGTAGACAGCAAGAGTATGATTTCAGTAAGGATATTTATTTGGTTGCCTGTAAACTTAACCAGATGTGTTTAAATTTTTGAGGTCCTTTCATTCCTTGTTTTTCTTTTACAGCATGATTTTGTGTATGTATTCGCATCCTTCTGACTCTGGTGCTATGAAACACATAATGAAAGACCTTTTCCTCAGGGGAGTCTCCTGCAACCTGAACTCTCCAGATGTTTCAAAATAAGAATTATAGGCTGTATTAAAGAGATCAGTATACTTCAGTTAATGCCATCTATTTGTGATGTTTATTTCATATGGTGATGAACATACCTTACCAGGGGGTTGTTTTTAACTCAAGGGCTAAGTGGTGGCAGAATAGAAAAGCAGTGTCTCTTTTTGACTCCCTGAATATCAACCATTTTTGCAAGATATTTGACTTCGTTTGACTTTGTTTTTGCTTATTTCAATTTTGATTTAAATGTAGAGCCACAAGTGATGGCTTTGTCTTAGCAAGTGAACCAGTAATCTACCTTATCAATACATTTTCAGTATACCATAATATGACACCTGTATCCACAGGAGATACTTTTCAAGACCCCATCTCTCATGGATACTTGAAACCATGGATAATAGTGAACTCTCTATTTTGATTGCTCTTGGGCCAGAATTGTGTGCTCTAGGCATGCACTCGAAGATCTAGAGAAGTCCACAAACTCTTCTGGGGGGAATATTTTTGGTGCATGAGGAAGTAAAACCACAGATATTGAAACTGTGGATAAGGGGGTCATATTGTATTACTATAATTGTTTTAGTGTGATATTCTTTCAGCTGGCTGCTGCCGCTGGCAAAATCCATGAAAACATCGGTCAATCTTTTCCAGAACATTGGGTTCATTTTTTCCTGTTTACACAAACAGTGGATGGGCTAAAGGAAAGAAAACAAGGAGTGGAGGATGAGAGGTCATTTTACAATTTTGAAGATGGGGGCAACATTTTCCTCTTGATCGAAAAGAGAGTTTGTTGTTTTTGGAAACGAGATGTATTTTTTTCACACTTTCATACTTCTCTCTCCCTCTAATGACCAACACAGGATTCATTGCCAACAGATAGGGAGCCAAAATGGAAAACAGGAGGAGAAACTGTTAGTATGCATGTGAAGGCAAAGTACCAAAAAGTATAAAGTCAGATGATTTTTTTTTTATTTATTTCATTTATATACAGCTTTTCTCAATCCCTGGGGGGACTCAAAGCAGCTCACAATAAATAAATGGCAAAATTCAATGCCTTACAAAATATAAAAGACAGCATATAACTAACATAGTATATAACAATAGATTAAAACCAGTGAATTTTAAAACATTGATGACAAGTTCTGCCAAACAGATCAGAGTGGCCTGTGCTTGGAGAGCACTGGTGTTATGAGATATTTAGAATCAGTTGGAAAAGGGAGGGAAAAAGTGAATTGCTCCATTAGAGTAATTATTTTCTTTTATAGCATCCCAAAATATGAGTCTTCTATTAGGAGATGGGAATATACTACAAATTTGTAAGACTTGGAGTGTAACTACAGTACACTGTAGAATTAATACAGCTCGACACCACTTTAATTACCATGGCTCGATGCTAAGCAATCATGGGAGTTGTAGAGAAAGCTAAAGATCTTGTAAAACTGTAAGTGTAGATGGTCCTTAACACAGTTATGATGGAGCAAATAGGAAGTTTGTTTGGCACCCTCTGGACCCTTTCTGCAGCCAAGTGGGGACCTTACTATGTTTGCAGGACCTTTGTTTTTAAATCATGTCCCATAGGGGTGTTTCGAATGTGGAATGTTCTTTTCCCTTTTTAATTGCATTTTAAATGTGCTTTGCAGTATTTTAACTATGTGCTTTTAAAACATAAATCTTTAATTGTTTAAAAAACCCTTTTACATAATAAGATTTTAGCTGAACTTTGATACAAATTAAAGGGAGCTGCTTTAAGTCCCATGAAGGGAAGAAGGCAGAATACTCTCTGCCCTGGAGTGTGGTGGAGGCTCCTTCTTTGGAGGTTGGATGGCCATCTGTCAGGGGTGCTTTAAATGTAATTTTCCTGGTTGGCCCACAAGGTCTCTTCCAACTCTATGATTCTCTCTCTATATATATACACACGCACACACACACACACACACACATAAACAGACAAAATATCTTGTAGCCAAGTTTGCATCTTATGTTGAGGTATGAGAAATAGGTTCAGTTGTGAAATATTGTTTAGAAAATCTAGGCTGGGTTGGTTTGACATGCATCCCATTGAGATAAATGTGAAAACGTATTTGTAACTTAAGTCTTATTTATTTTAATAAGAACTGCTTGCCATTAACTTATGCAAGGTGCAGCCTATTATTTGCCAAGTTAAGTTGACATGTGTTACCTGTAGCTTCTAGCATTTACCAGACAGGTATTATAGTCCAATATATCTGATTGGAGGTAAGCAGATGCTGATTGAACGTTTAAGCCACCCTCATGACTTCTTAGGGTAAGGAAGGAAAACATACTGGAAACCACCTTCTATCTACTGTTAAGGATATTAAATTGAACCTTGTGAAACTAGTCCACATTTTTCTTTATTTTGAAACAAACTTCTCTTATATGGCAAGGAAATATTATACTGGAAAAATATAAATTGAAGAGAGTTCACTGACACAAGAATGTCTGGGGAGCATAGTGTTCGCTTACAATGAAAATGGATCTAGGGCAATTTCAGTTTTACAAATAATAAGAATTTGTGTTAAAGAAAAAAGTTTTAAAACAAAGTTGGAGGGAACAGAAATCAGACACCAAGGTATGAACAATTTATTCTGATTTTATCTAAGTTAAATATCAGTCAGTTCCTGTTTCTCCATAAAGCTTAAGCGGCAAAATTAGATGAAAGAGTTGTCTGCAAGCTGACCTTGATGTCCAGTTGCAATTCAGGTCCCAACTACACTGCCATATAATCCAGTTTGAACTGCATTATAATGGTCAGTATAGACTCATATAATGCAGATTGGACCACATTGAACTGGATTATTTGAATCTACACTGCAATATAAGATAGTTCATTGCAATTAATCTGCATTCTGAAAACTGAATTATATAGCAGTGTAGATGGGGCCTAAGACACCTTGTCCAGTGCCCCACATAAGACATTTTTTTTCCAAATCCTTACTAATGTGTGAGTGGGGCAAAATCAACAGAATGAGACCTTCTTAAAGCAATGACTGAATTCTTGCAGCCTTTGTGTGTGTAACCAAATGCCGTTTGAACATAACATAAATGTACACAGTGTGCAGGCCAATTTTGGGGTGGTTTTATTCATGCAATAGCAAGGCTTTCTGATATCTGTGTCCCCTGCTGCCTTTCAGGTCAGAGTGGCTTGGGAAAATCTACACTAATCAACACTCTCTTCAAATCCAAAATCAGCCGCAAATCTGTACAGCCGAGTACTGAAGAGCGAATCCCTAAAACAATTGAAATCAAATCCATCACACACGGTGAGCCTTGGCAAGATATTGTAAGGTTGTTATTTCTGCAAGTTGGGGAGGAAGATGGGGATGCTGAGAATCTCACAGTCTGGAGGCAGGGTAAAGGGTTCAGAAGATGGAAAAGTCCTTTAGATCCTTAGAACACCAAATTTTGGAAAGTCTTTAAATGTCTGCAAGATCCCCATTGCCTATTTGTTGAAGGTGTTTGACTATGGAGGAATCTTCTTGACTGTGTTCATAGGATGACATCTTGCTACCTTATCTTCTTCAACTTTTGTTTCAGATATTGAGGAAAAGGGCGTGCGCATGAAGCTGACTGTCATTGACACTCCCGGATTTGGAGACCATATCAACAATGAGAACTGGTGTGTGACCATTAAATGAGAAACCCAGGAGGCCACTTTGTGTTGCATATGTGTATGGAAAAAAACATACTTTGGGATTTGGAGCTTTAGAATTATCCATATATCTGTACTCATTAGGACCATCATTCTAATTGAGTTTTGTTAGAGAGCTAAACAAAGCTGCTTCTGGTGCAAAAATAAGTAGTGAAGCAAATACAGAGCTGATTTTGATCTCATTTCTATCCTTAAATCTAGGGGCTAGCTGGGAGTAATTGGATGAAATGTCCTTGGCAAATGTGATTTTGGCTAGATATAGCGTATTTCTGCAGCTCAATAGCTCTCAGCCTGACCTGTGTGTCCTCATGGTACTGCCACCTACAGTAGGCTCGGGAGAATTTGTGATCTAAATCCTTTTATGGAATCCCAACTAAAGTATAAGTACCTACAAGCCATTTTTTTCTAAAATCCAATTGGCACAGAGACAGAAAGTGAGGCAAAATCTTCTGAACAGAGGCACAGACAGTAAAACAAGCACCACAGGCATGTTTATCCTTCCCTGAGCTATCAAAAATGTATAGTTAGCTAGCTGAATGATAGATATTTAGCTGGAGTTACACTTAAAGAATCTACCTGTTCTGACGTACATACAAATTCAGCTTAAGAACAAACCTATAGAACCTGTAAAAAGGAACTACTGCCTTTCTAGGAAACTTGCCGAGCACTGATAAAAGTAAGGTGAATGAGTTTGCCAGTAATTTCTTGTTATGCTGGCTTGCAAATCTAAAGCAAGGTATAAATAGTACTTCAGATAAAAATTAGATGATGTTTGAATTAGCCTTTTGTCTTCACATGCATCTCCTTTCCTTCTTCTTCACAGCATACAGATAAAATATCTAATTTGCCACGTTATCTAAACCAAAAATGTAGCATTTTAGCTCCAGAACAAACCAGCTTATGAAACCTTTGTTTGGATTTTGCTCAGTATCCTGACATGTTTTGATGCTAATGACCATGATTTTCCACTTCAAAGATAACTTTAGTTAATTAGAAACATCCTAGTTTAATCATGACTTGTATGAAGAAATTGCATATGTTTATATCTCTACTGATTAAGTTGTAATGTGGTCATCCAAAAACAACCCATGAAGAGCTCCAAAATGACAGCAGGTAACTTTCAGTATTGCTTATTAAAATGTGTATGTGTGTGTATGTGGTCTGAAGCATGCCACACAGATATTGCTCCTCTTTTTACATACATATCTCTCTTTGCTCAGTTGGCAACCCATTATGAAGTTCATCAATGATCAGTATGAGAAGTACCTGCAGGAAGAGCTCAATATTAACCGGAAGAAGCGAATACCAGACAGCAGAGTCCACTGCTGTATATACTTCATTCCTGCCACTGGCCACTCGTATGTATACTTCTCCTGAATTGCACTTTTTAATTTTGTTAGTGTGCAAAAAAAATAAATCACTCATATTCCAAGTGCAGATACTACTGATCTGCCCTACTGCTTTCATAAGATTGTCTTGTTATCACTTTTTGTGCCACATTCTCACAAATTAGGATGCCCTTTGCACATTGAGAGTTGAGCAGACATGTGGCCTAGAGTGTCATATTGGTGAAATGTGAATTCAAATCCCACTGATCAACAAGGACACTGGGTGACTTTAGGACAGTTACTATTTCTCAGGCTAACTTACCTGACAGGATGCCATGCCCATTAGATTGAGGACTTTAGAGCAAGTTAACTATACATTTATGGATATGGGTATGAGAACTGATACGAATCCTGATCGAAGACAACATTCCACCATTATGAACTGAACCACAGTTTGTCTCTGGAACCAGGTAGACTGGTACATTCACCCTCTGATTTCATGAAAGTCATATGGTTTTGTTAGCTTGCTTGTCGACGTTCTCACATGCCTGTGCATGTACACATATGGATACAGTTCTGATTCAGAGTTTGTCTGCTAAAGGGCCTATTCGACAAGCAAGGCCTCTTTGTAAGCTTGTGTAATTATACACTTCTGTTTCTCAGACAGAGTCACTGAAACTTTAGCTGCTCTGGCCCAGACCTCCTAATGGTATCCTGCAGTTTGCCTCTCACCCAGCTGCATGCATGGTAGACGGTGCCTATAAGTCTGCTTGGTGTATTCCCCTTCTCCCAGGAACATGTGTTTCCAATACAAGAAATGATTTTGAAGTTCTGAGACACTCCATTATTGACTTTCAAGCCCCTGCAGTTACTTTTGGCTACAAGTAGCATGATACTGCTACAGAAGGCTAGGACTAGGTGTTCCCTTGACTCCTACCACAAACAGTTTGTTCTGGGATTATTGGTTTCCTATTTTGTTGTCAAAATGAACATGCAAATCTGTGGATGGGAGAAGACTAAGCTGACGAGCCTTAATTAAGACTTGGGTTAATTAAGACTTCTGGTGCATGGAGCGGGGAGATATAAGGTTTTGAGGACGGAAGAAACTTTAGTAGGGGAGGAGAATAAGAAACTGTTCACCCCCCCCCCCCCCCCCCCCCCCCCCCCCCCCCGGCAAGCATATGCTTCTGATGGTTATCAGTGCCCTAGAAATTCCTTTGCCTTGTCATATCGCTTCCATTTCAGTATCAGCAATTTAGTAGTCGAAATGAATTCTACGCTGGGCTATTTTTTTCTTTTCACAGAACTTTTCAGATGTAATAACAGTGCCCTTTGGCTCCCCCTAACAGAGTTGAATCATTGTCAGGGAATACTAGTTTGGCGCTGTCTGACACCTGATGAAATTCTATATCCTTGTGGCTGTTAGACAGAAAAAGACATGTGTGTGGTGGGGGGCAGGGGAGGAGAAGTTTTGTCTACCCATTGTCATGTCTTTCTTCTTGACAGTTCTGCTCTCCCCCTCACCAGAGAAAACCCCCACTTTGTTCCAAGGCCCATTATGTTACTTACATACATACAGTAAAACTAACTAACCAAAGTGTCAGCTGCAAATGAGGCTTGAATTGGAGAAACTTTGCTGTGCGACAACTTTTTCTGGCCAGAGAACTCTGGCAACTGGCGCTTGCATTGTCTTGGTCTCTTCTGGCCTGTACCTTCCCCCATTGGAGAGGATATGAAAGAACTACATTTTGGAAATGTGTGTCAGCTCTGACCCTACATACCTAAATTAGGTGTGTGTGATTAAACTGTATCTCCATGGAATCACATTTTTCAAATATATGCAAATATAAATATTCCAAAATCTGGGGGGAAAAAATCTGAAATCCCAAACAAATCCCAAGCATTTTGATTAAGGGATACTGTTAATGGTAGGGCTTCATATGGGAGACTTTTGGGAAATAGAAACCTGACCCTGTTTCCATCTGTTCTTGAATTCTCACATACAAAAGTTCTTTTGTTCAAATTACAAAAGACAAGCTAATGAAGAAGAAGACGCAACAATCTGCATATGTGTGTACACACAAAACCCAGGCTTACAACAGTATTTTTGTTGATCTGCGTTGTGGTCTTCGGTTTCTGTGATATGTTTAGCCATTTTGTCAATGGAAACCTCATCGTGCATCCAAATCCACATGCTGTTTCATGTCCTTCCCTTATTAAATCATGGGGGATCCCCTGCTATATGCTAATTAGCCCATGCCATATGATGTTAAGATCAATTAAAACAACTCAACCAGATCCCAAGAGTGTGAGCAGTCTATTCTTCCTTTTCTTAAATTTTTTCCATGATTCTTTGCAAAGCAAATATCTTAACACCAGATGCCTATTCCATAGGATTTCTTGCTTCCAAAATGGCAAAAGTTGATAACTCCACTGAATTATGGAGAGAAGTATGAAAATATACAAGCAGTAATTTATTATAATATACATAAGGCATTTTATGGGCCTTCCTTGGGCAGAAACCCACTATATAGGGTTTCTATATAACCCACCCTTGGGCAGAAAACCACTATATAGGGATAGAGCAAATGTGTCAATGGTAATAATAAATAAATTTAGGTTTCTACCTAATTCTCTCTCTCCCCCCCCCCCCCGCAATTCTTGAAATGCCAATAGACTCCAAACATGTCCTACATTTCTCCCTTTTCTAATTAAGGCACTCATGGGCCCTGGCACCTTCCCTCTAAAGCACGTGCATTTTTCACACGTTGACTGTATTAGCATATTATACATCAAGCTTCAGTGCCTTTGGGACATTGAGTCTAGCTTGAAATGAGCACTGTTTTCTGGGCTGATGAAATTTGGATTAAATTCAATTCAGCTCGTCTCTTCCACCCCTCCCCTCCTCTGGTCATAAATATTTATTGTATACTGAGTCAGGCATGCACAGGAAAGCGGCAAGTGGCTTTTATGAGCCTTTTGAATCCCTTACTGAAGACTATAGAGCAGTGCTATTGTCCCATCTCATTACAGCTCAAGTTTGATGGGCCATTTGCCTGATTTTGAAATGACACTGACTGTTGTAAAACAAAACAAAAATTATTTCCCATTTTAGCTTTTTCTAAAATAGAACTTTCTGAAAACCATTTGATAATTGTAGAATGTCATCCTCTAGTTTGTACTTCTTTCTCTCTCACACACACCATCATGGACTATGCTTCTGACCATGTTTTCAAAAACCTGCTTTTTTCTGTCGAAGGCTTTCATGGCCGGAGTCACTGGGTTGTTGTATGTTTTTCGGGTTGTGTGACCATGTTCTAGAAGCATTCTCTCCTGACATGTTGCCTGCATTTGTGGCAAGCATCCTCAGATCCTGAGGATGCTTGCCACAGATGCAGGTGAGACGTCAGGAGAGAATGCTTCTAGAACATGGCCATACAACCCCAAAAAACCTACAACCCAATGATATTTTCTGCCTTTTTAACAAATACATGAAAGCTCCTTTTTTAAAAGGCTGTTAAATACTATAGGATGAACAGAGAAGACATAGTAAGGATTTGACACATTACAGATTCACTATTTCTGACATCTGAGAAATTCCCGGTTGATTCTAAAACAAGTCTAAGAATTGGAACATGCTTGTCAGCTCCTTTGGTGGATGCATACTTCTCTGGATGACGGTGCACTTCTCTAGTTTTCTAATAATACTGGTAAATCCTGGCTTTTCTAGCTGAGTGTTGCACACCTTGTAATCCCCTCTCATGGTGTTTTCACTCCTATATCCAGTTGGTCTCTAAATATATTGGGATTTTTCTCTTGGTGTGTTGCTGGGTGTAGTGGATTTTGATACTCTTCTCAGTCTGCTTGCTTCTTTTTAATTGTATTTCTCTATTATTTGCAGAGGCTATGTCAGAAACTCTGAAGCTAAGGGGAAATAATCCCCCCACCTTGTAATGGGCACAAACAGTTGTGTTAGTTCCAGAACTTTAAAAGAAAAAAACTGGGCATGGAGGGATATTTTCTAGATATATTCTAAAAATATTTGATTAACAGAGTTGCAAATCCCAAGGCTTTGGGCCAGTCTGAAGCAGTATTCTGTATGCTGGTTCTCTTTCAGATGTTGTAAATCCCAGTCAAGCTCATTTTCCAAAATTATGTGGGGAGGCAATTTGTCCCCAGCTATACTGGCACTCCCTGTGGATTTTAACGGGTGACCACCTTGAGAATACTGTAAGTCAGGATTTCAAAAATAGCCAAGTGAATCAATGATTCCAGATGGAATTGGGGTGTTTTATATAACATCTCTCTATGTGTCAAGGATGGACAGGTAGTCTGCCTAGTTTTTGGAGGGCACATTATGAAAATGTATGAAGCGGAAGCTTAATCACCCATGCCACTCACTGGTATTGTTAATTCTTTGTTCAGTTGTGGTGCAACTGAGGCTAAACTTCAGGTTTAAAATCCAGGACTCCATACCTTAAGGGGACACAAATGACCATCATTAAGATTGGATGTAGCCCTGGCATCAACATCTAGACTGATATGGACATACTAAGGCCATTGTGGCACAACATAGTTTTAAGTGCTAGTTGTATCTTCTTCTTTTTTACTTTAAGGAATGTTTTGTCTGTGTTTCTGTTGATTGGTGAGGTGATAAATCAACAGTTTCATTTATTTAATTTTAGTTGACTAAGAATCCTCCTTTTACTGCAGCAAATAGCATTTTTACCTGTTGACTTTGACTTATGGCAACCCCATGAATATGATTCCCTCTAAAACACCCTATATCATCAGCAACCTTGTTCAAGTCTTTTAGACTTGGGACTGCAACTTACTTGAGAATTGACAATGAGCATGAAATAAAATATTTAGAAAGATGACTTCGGGTGAGGGAAATGGCATAATGAGTGAGTAGCACCCACTAACGGCAATTATAACTGGATGAGGCATTTCATTGTTTTTTAAGGATTAACTTTCCATCTGATACACCGCACATGCAGGCATCTCCCCTGTGTTTTATTTCCTCTGAGGGATTCACAGTGGGGAAGCAAAGGTTCTTAAATTTAATTCAGTAATTTGCATTTTCCCACTATAAGAAATTTTGCAAAAACTATGGTGTTGTCACAGTTCTTCGGAATTTTAATAGTCACTTTTTTGGTGCACAAAAAAACAGCATTTTCTGTTTCCCAATTTTCTTCTGTTTCTCAATGTTCTCTTCTACACAAAGAACAATATTTTATTTCTAAAAGTGTGGGGGAAAGGCAAACTGTGAAAATGTATTGTTATCTATTTATTTTATTTATATCCTGATTTTATCCCCATGGGGACTCAAGACAGCTAACAACCAAACAATCTAATCTCACTTTAAAACAAAACAAATACATTTTTTTAAAAAAAATAATTAGTACTGTGGGCATATAGAGTTAAAGTGCAATTAAGATATAATAAATATAATTATAAATTATGTTTAAAACTCACAATCCCACCCCAGAACCCCACCCACAACCTCCCCAGCATCATACCCATCAATCCTTGACTTTCCAATGTTCTCATCACAGTTTCTGAATACCTGAGAGACACATTTTACGTTTGAATATTTTGAATTTTCCCATCCTTGTCCCATTTTCCCATCCTTGTCCCATTAGTTAAAAGACTAATGCTTGTCCATTTGTATTTCCTAGGCACCATAGCCTCCAAATCCACACATTGTTCCTTTTCTTTAGACCTTTTGGCCTTCCTTGCATAATCTTTTCCATACTGCATCAGCACTGTGATCTTCTGCTTATGCTCTTTCTATTGTTACCTGCTTTCTTTCTTGTCCTTCAGCGAAATGCTTGTGTTCACGTTCAGGATGTATTGCTTGCTGAAATAAATTAAGTCAGCAAATTCAAATTCCCATGCTTTTATTATTTTTGAAGGGGTGGGGGCCAAGCATTCAGAGCTTGAATTTGCCAACCGGCTTTATCCCCATATCTAAAATTTACACACACAGCAACAGATGCATGCGCACACATGCCTACTCTGTCTGTGTCATTGTAGGCCAAGCATTAATTGGATCCTAATTAGCTTTTGCTGAGCACAGAGGGAAATTATATTTCTTTAGGACTATGAAAACTGCTTTTAGCTTGCTTTTGACAGACATTTTCCTATTGTAGGTCATTGGTATGGAATGGCTACTCCCTTTAAACTGCCAGGCATAGCCAAGATATTTTGGAAAAGGGGAATGAGAAGGAGGGGGGGGGGGAGAGAATGTGCTTTTGGTCTGCTAAGCATTTGGCGTTGTATTTCTTGGCAAAAACAATCCCTAATTAGGAAGCCTTCTCTGAGTTGAAATTTCTGGACCTTCTATTTTTGCTGATATCTGCATAAGTCAGAGAACTTAACACACACCAGTTTGTTTTAACTTGGATTGTCACTCCCACAAAAGAAGGCATATCACCTGTATATGCATGTGATATTTGGCAAGTGTACATGTGTTCATGTGGATGCCGGAAATTGTAGTCCAAAAGATTTTTAAGGTTTGACACATATAAAGTCAAATTCTCCGAATTTGTAATTCACACAGAATGAAGAAAGTTACTTTTTGCCTCCTGTGGTAGCGAGTAAAACTACTAAATCTGACAATCCACTTCCACATTTTAGTCCACATGAAGAGCATCTGTAACACACTGCTAACCCTTAACTTTCACAGTAGGAAATATATTTACTTAGTTATGTTTCTGTCCTGCACATCCTCCAAAGTGACTAGTGCAGCCTTGATGGAGATTATTATCACTATGGTATTGTATTGATTGTGTATGTTTGTATATATGTATGTACGTGTTTTCTCATTAATCCTGTAGAGTATGCTTAATAGAAAACACTTGCCCGAGGTCACCCAATAATTGCTGTAGCTGAACCAGAAACTAAACCCTCTGTGCAAGTCAAATCTATAGCTGGAAACAAATAAAGAGAACAATTCCATATCCTATATCTCACTGACAAACTACACTAAGATGCCATTGACATAATTGGCAACTGCATGAATAGTTTTCAAACAGTAACTAGCAAGCATGGCCCCTGCCTGGACAGAGAGAATAGGGGGCTTCCGGCATTCCTATCTTCCTCGGTTGTGGGAGCAGATCCGATCCGCTGTGTCTGCTACTTGATTTGAGATTGCATTTGGGAGTGTTTTCTTCCAAAACAAACAGTAGGTATGTGGAGCTCAATCCAGATCAGGATGACAGCTAGATGCTTAAAGCTTCCCTATTCCCACTCTCTAGGATCTCATGTAATTTATTTTTATGTGAAAGATATCTCCTCTAATTTGTTCCATTTATCCAATTTGCAACAAGAAAGTACCCATCCATGTTGAGCATATGTCCAGGTTCCCTTTGCCACCACTTGCTCCTCTCTTGCAAATAGCTATCTCTTAATTACACTTCATGGATCAATTTGTACCACAAAGATCCCTGTCTGCAAACATTGGCTTTCAATACAGCAGTATCAATCACAGGGTAAGCAAAGATCACCTGTGCAGGAAGGCACATTGGCATGCTTCTAGTGTCTATTTTGGCATCCTGGGGCCTAAATGAGCCCCAGCATGGTGTGGTCATTTGAATGTTGGACTGCAAGGGTTGAGACAAGTGTTCAATTCCCACTTGTTCATGGAAGTCTACTGGTTGACACTAGAAGAGTTATACAATTTCAGCCTTAGGGTCACCATAAGTCAGAAACAATTTGAAAGCATAATAACAACAAGACTTGAAGCCAATTTTTAACACTCAACTAGAATCAATGCACATAATTACTGATCTTATGTTGGTGGTGAATTACTAGTTTTCTAGTGTGTTGTGAGCAACGATTACCTTTAAGGCCCATGTGAATTTTAGACTCATGTTCTATATGTACTGTACTTTAATCTTTATTCTCCATGTTTTAATATATGTGTTTCATATAAATACAATTTAATATGTATTTTACATAAAGTTTTATAATGATGTGTTTTTAACTGTGTTGTGTCCCACCTCAATCCTCAGAGGTGAATAAGAAATAAAATTATTATTATTATTATTACTATTACTATTATTACTATTACAAAATGATCAATTTTATGTGAGTAAATATTGGCCCCTCCTTTGATCTAGTTCCTGTGGTCCCATCCAGCTCTCTCTCATGCTAAAGGAAGATAATCTTTAGTAGATGAGATATAACTAAGGAGATCCCTATTCACATTTCAGCTCTGCTCTTTGACTTTAGGTAGAAGCTTCTGAGTGGGGAGAGAAAAGGGCCTGCCTTTTTGTGGCAATTGAGTGAGTGGAAAGAGGAAAGAAAGCAATGTCTTAAAGTCATACACCTCAATTTTCATCATTTCCCTTTTCTGTAATTTTGCTTTTAGCCTTCGACCATTGGACATTGAATTCATGAGACGCCTGAGCAAAGTAGTCAACATTGTGCCTGTCATCGCCAAAGCAGACACATTAACACTGGAGGAGAGGGACTACTTCAAACAACGGGTAAGGAGCAGGTGGAAGTGGTGAGAGGGCAGTTTCTCTGACCTTCCTGAAGATTGCCTCTCCTTAGAATTCCCCTCACCCCACATGATGGCTGTCTGTGAAACCCAATAGCTGGGCAGGAGCCCAACACATTCCTTGGGACGCAGCTCAGAGCAATCTCGCATGGTGAGAGGGAAGGCCTCTAGCGATCTCCAGACCTATTGCCTATATTTGTCTTGGCTTGCCCTCTCTTTGGGGAGAGGGAATAAATTCAATTTCCCCATTTTGATTCTTTTTCCTTTCTCAGATATTTCTACAGTTGCTTTTTAAAAAAAAAATCAGTCCACTGCTGAAATTTCTATAGAAAAAGAGAACTTTCCACCCTTGGCTTCTTGCCACCTAAGTTTTCAAACACTTTCTCTGGCCCTGGAGTTAGTACCTGGAGTAATGCATACTTTGCCCACAGCCTGTTCTAGTTAGCCGGTTTTCTAAATCTTCCATTGCTTCTGTGGGGCTGAGTTCTGAGAGAAACAAAGTACTGTCTTTTCCCCTGCCTGTTTCCCAACACTGGTGCCCTTGGAGCAGGTGGCCCACGTCCAGAAAGAGGATGATCGCTATGCAACCTCCATGGGAGACTGCAGTGAGCAGCATGAATCCTTAGATGATCAAAGAATATCCTCGAATGTTGACACTTACTAGTAATGTACTGCCGTTGCTTTGTAATGTGTATCTAGTCAACCATGTCCACAACAGATTGTCACTGTTATTTGTTTATTTTACAAAATACAGCACTGCCATTGGCATTTCCCAGGCAGACATTTGTCCAAATATGGATCAGATCCAGACTTACTTTTCTTTCTGCTATACCTTAGACAGTGTCCTGGGAGCCCTTGTGGGTGAGGAGGAATGTGACCCCATGAGAACTTCACTGCAGCTCAGAATTCAGCACTTTCACTCCAGCTATTTCAAGAAGGGATATTTTCTTTTTTCCTGCTTCCCTCCCTCTTTCCTGCTTTCCTCTTCTTTTTTGGCAATGTGGGTCAATTACTGTGTCATCACCAATCTGTTCTCTTCCTTGTGTTTTCTTAGATCACAGCAGATCTCCTTGCAAATGGCATTGATGTGTATCCACAAAAACAGTTTGATGAAGATTCTGAAGACCGACAAATAAATGAAAAATTTAGAGTATGTGGGCTTAAATTACATTTAATTTGTGTTCAGAGGTTTGATGGTTGAATTTTAGGACTGAACCTAAAATCTTCCACTTGATTACATGTATTTCATTTTTTTATATAAATTATTAAAGAAGTGAGATGTTCTTTCAGGGCCAGTAGCATCTCAACTGAGTGAGGCCACCAGTAGCAACTACAGAAAGCTTTAGCAAGTGCTTTGGAAACTTATGTATGCCATGCAGTCTGCCCAAACCCTTTGCAAATCCCCTGTCTTGGGGACAGCTGTTCTGATGCCACAAATGCCAGCCCAGCCCACTCAATGTCTGTGCATGAAATGGGAGAAGCAGGGCAGCTCATACCATCTTCCCCTTTCCTTCAGTTAAAATCTGTCAGTCACCATGCAGCAGGCAAAATGAAATATAAAATAGCATTAAAAGAAAAGAAAATTAGCAAGAACATCCATGTCCTTCATGAAGAATGCCAGCATGAGTAACAGTTCCATAATTGGACTTTAAAGAAGATAACAATAATCAAGGTGGAGATCAGTAACAGAATGAGGTTAACACAAAGTTGGAAGGGCCTTAAAAAATGTCTTATCTTGCTACTGAAGAGGCATTTAAGCAAGTGCCAGGCATGCCTCCCCTGGAAAATGTTCCACAAACATGCCCCAGCCCATCCTCAGGTTCTCAAACTGAGGAGTACATAGGGGATGAGATGCTCTTTTACTTTGAGGGTTAAAGAAAGTATGGTTGGTGGGCCATATACAGATCCCAATGCCGTTTTAAGACCTCCCAGATTCCAAGCCTGCATTTCTTTTGCAAAAATATCCCCGTACCACTTAGATGGCTTGGTGAGATGTTTAAATGAAGTGAATCAAGCACCACTGCAACTGAGATGAGATGTGTTTAATATGTAGATAATCTATGCTCCTCGTGAATACACTCAATGTGATTGTTTACTCTAGCTCTGGAAAATAGAAGTGAATGAGATACTGGTTTGCCTCTGGAAGATTGATTTATTTTTCATCCCTTATGTACAATTAACAAATGAAAATGGGTCTCTGGAAAAGCTCTTCAGGATCTCTTAATCGCTGAGCTTTTATTTAACCCTACTGTGTGGGAAACTATTGATAGAAGTGTTGAAAAGACATTCCAGAATTCTCAGAACTACTGAGATTGAGGTTGGAATAGGAATCCATTCTAAGTTTTTACTGTGACTTTAGTTTAAAGAAGGTTAAATTTTATAATCCCTATTTCTGACACTGATTTTACTGTAGGAAATGATTCCATTTGCTGTGGTGGGCAGTGACCAGGAATATCAGATTAATGGAAGACGAATTCTGGGAAGGAAAACGAAGTGGGGAACAATAGAAGGTAAGAGTCCCCACGCCTGTGTTCGTTGCTTCCTTGCCATTGTCATAGCTTTAGATCTGTCAAGGTGATTTTTGAATTTACAAAGGTGGCATCAATGTAACACATCACCAGTTCTATGGGATGTGTGCTTTGTTGTCTCATGTTAGACAGAAAGAAAAGCCTGAGATTGATGTGAGTAACTGAGCTCCTGGGCCAAATGGCTCAAGTGAACGGACATTAGGTATGGATTTTAAAGATTTATTTCGATGAAGAGGGCATTTACTTTACTTAGACAATCCCTTGTTGGCCGAGTAGGATAGTCTTCCAGGATCAGAATTCTTGTGGGTCTGTAGGTGGCTGTGGAACCCTATTCTTGAGTGTAACAAAGAGTACTCGGGAGACTTACTATTAACTTGCAATCAGTTCCTGTTTTAGATTATATAGACAGTCATTCATCCGATAGCGAATGGTGATACTTGTTTTTATTAATCATAAGCCAAATGTGATGCTATTAATTGTTAATTGTTGTATTTCATCATTCTACTTTCACTTGACTTAGCCGATGATTTGTTGACCGAAATAAAGGCTACTGACTGACTGGCCCTATTCTTGCTCTGCATCTTCTTCCGCAGTGAGGGCATCGGTTTCCAGGTGGAAGGCGGTCCCGGTTGGGGTTGGCTTGACACGCCTTCCTCTTGTCACGTTTCTCTCTTTCACCCTCCATTCATGCCTCTTCAAATTCTGCAGCACTATTGGTCACAGCTGACCACCAGCTGGAGCGCTCAAGGGCCAGGGCTTCCAGTTCTCAGTGTCTATGCCAGAGTTTTTAAGGTTGGCTTTGAGCCAAAGCCAAAGCCAAGAGGGCATTTACATTTTAAGACTCATAGAGTAACATGCTGAAAGCAGGATATTTGTTCTGTGACATACCACTTTGCAGAAAAAAAGTTAAAAATGACTTCATCATGGCACTTCACTTTGTGTTGCTGTGTATCATGAAGTCATTTCCAACTTACGGTGATCCTAAGGTAGACTTATCATGCGGTTTTCCTGGCAAGATGTATTTAGATGAGGTTTCCTTTGCATTCCTTTGAAGCCGAGAGAGGATAACTTGCCCAAGGTCAGCCTTGGGTTTCTATGATTGAGTTGTGATTCAAACCCTTATCTCTAGAGTTGTGGTTCAACGCTAATGTCAGTGTGTGGTCATCATGCTGGCTCTCATTTTTGTTGTGGGAAGAAAGTAAATAAAAGTGTATTAGGAGACTTTCCTTCTATAAGTTGGGGAAATGGAAATGTGGAAATAAACCCCGGAATCTACTTTAAATTCAAATCTACTTCTCTTTGCTTTCTGGAAGCACAAAAAAAAAGTATTACTGCATTTTTGTGATGTGTAATGAAGTGCTGTGTTCCTTCCATTCCTGAAACTATTGGTGGCCTGGATAGTGGGTAGAGCTGCAGTCTTGGAGTTCAGAACATTGCAGGGCATCCCACAGGAGATATGTGCAAAGCTATTTCTCTTCCCTTGTGGTTGGCTCCACAATGTCATCTAGAACACCAAATGACCCTGTCTCCTCCCCCGCTCCTCCTTTCCCATTATTATTGTATAGCCAAAATATAGAGATAAACCACACTGGGTTTGAGGCTGCCTTTCTGCTTTGATAAGTTTCAACTACTTGGGAGTCTAAATGGTGACATAAAAGCCAGATCATTTTAAGCCTTCTGCTTCCCCCCTGTGGCCAGTTCTTGATAACTCATACAAGTAGAGAGACCATTACAAGACAGGTGCTTACCAGATAGTGGTTTTTTTTCCAAAGACATGGTATTGTCGTGTTTGTGAGGAAATATAATTCTCTTTCTCTAAAGTGAGAGCTTCAGAACAGGTCCTCTTTGGGCATAATATTACCCAAAGAGCTGTTTGTTTTCTTCTGACACAGCTTTCCCAACTCCCTTCACCACCAGATGTGTTGGACTACAGTTCCCATCATCCCAGAAATATTGCCTATAATGTCAAAGGGTTGTGGGACTTGCAGTTTAACTCTGGGGAGATAAGCAGTTGTCTGGAGTTGATAGTTGTTTTATCTCTGTACCCTGTATGTTCCCCCTCTCTCCCATACCTCCTAAAAAAACAAATACTGCCCCCTGAGCTTCTGAGGTGTTCAGTTTCCCATTTGGTTGTTTTGGAGCACATCATTTTTAAGCATTTAGAATCATTCCTTCTAACCCGAGAGAGTCAAATCTTTAGATAACATAATGGAATTTGAGGGGAAGAAGGGAGATGGAAGCCCTTGCAAACTGATAACACTTTTGGAATCATGTCTTGCTTTGGATTTTTAATTTAATGCTAACTAGCTTCCCTGTGCCTTGCTTTTACAGTCGAAAACACAACGCATTGTGAGTTTGCTTACTTGCGGGATCTTCTGATAAGGTTGGTAGCCTTTTGTCCAGATGGAGGAAGTGATGTGGGATAAATCAAGACAGCATACATTTGAAGGCTGCAGTGCAAGTGGTTCTCTGTGAGAGAGAGATGAAGTGGCATCCTAGTTACATCCTGGTGTTTGTAGCTCTAAGGATATACAAACGGTGACCATGTCCAAGTTGAATATCCATTATCTGGAATGCTTGGAACCAGAACTGTTTTGGGAATTGAACTTTTATGGGTTTTAGAATACTTGCATTTACATATACATATATAATGAAATAGTTTGGAAATGTACCCAAGTTTAAATACATAATTCTTTTATGTTTCATATACACCTTATACACAGAGTTGGAAGGTTCATTTTGTACTCAGTGTTGTTTAGTAATTAAATAAATTTTGTGTACACTGAACTGTCCCAAAGCAACGACGTCACCATGTCAGCCACCCATGTGGCTAATTTGAATTTTGGAGTATTTAGGATTTTGGAATTCTGGATAAGAGATTTATTTATTTGTCGTGTCAGGGCAACCAATCAATTGTATTACATTTCTAACAAAACAAACAAACAGACAAAATACAAAATTTGTGAGTTTGGTAGTTGATTAAATTTCCTTTGACCAGTAGCTGGCCATTTGGAGTGCTTCTGGTGTTGCTTCTGGATAAGAGATGCTCAACCTGTAATTACAACTCAGGGCAATGCTGGCCTGCTCTGTCCTTGAAAGCTGCTAGCTAAAACTGATAACACAGTCCCTGCAGGTTCCTCACTCCTGATTTTAGTATCAGGGCTCTGAGCAAAACTGTCTTACAGTAACTGGAAAAGTCAAGGACTAGATCTTGGATTTTGTGGGGCCAAAGCACATGCTTTGGCATGGTTTCAGAATCCTTTTACATTGTACTGCCCAGCTCTTTGTCTCCAACATTGGACATAAACTCTTCATAACAATCTCTATTCCTTCCTGCAGGACACACATGCAAAACATCAAGGACATTACCAGCAGCATCCATTTTGAAGCTTACCGAGTCAAACGTTTGAATGAAAGCAAGAACATGCTCTCCAATGGTGTGGCTGACAAGGAGGAGTTGGTGGCCAATGAAATGTAACACTCCTTGCTCAAGCTTGTATCCACGTTTTTCTCTTCCTACCCTCCCCATCTTTCTCTCTTCTTAAGAACAAAACAAAAACCATATAGCCCCCTTGTTGCCTCATATCTCCTCTACTGAAACCTACCTTGTTGACCAAATAACCAAATACTTTCCATAGGAAATGTAGCACTTTGCCCTTATCCTATACTCATTGGGACAAAGTGACCATGTTGTCCATTAGACTATTGTAAGAGACCAATAGGAAAGAGAAAATGTTAAGGACAGTCTCAGGAGAAGCTTTCCTTAATTTGATGTCTAATGTAAGTCGTGGAAATGTTAGCTTAGATTTTTCCATTGTAATGAGCCAGCCATTGTGTTTTGGAACTCTGCAGACAAAACTAGTTATCATGACCTCTGTTTTAGGCTGTTGAGACTGAAATAATTAACTTGGTTAGAAGGTAGAGTTACCATCTCCCCTTTTGACAGATTAGGAAGTGAACTATACTTTCATGGGATACTTGCCCTAGTATGGAAGCCTGGTGAGGCTGCTTGAAAAGTCCATCATCCTTTCCATGTGTTTTGCCATGGTGTCAGGCTAGTTCAGCACAGGGCATAGCTGCACTCAAGAGAATGCCATGCATTCCTCAACCGTCCATGCAGCACCCCATCTTTGCCTGCCTAATTTCCCACTGGCAGAATCATATCAATGTGATCCTGGTTGGACAATGTTAATTGAGATAAGACTGTCCTCTTCATTTATACAGGCCTGATATGGGCATAAAGATGATTGACAACATTTGCCACAGTAACTTCTTCCTGCCTTCTGTGGAAGTGGGGGAGATTTAAAAGTTTAGCATGTTTCTGCCTTCTTCATTTCAGTGGTCCAGGATTATGGGGTAGCCTCCACCAAACCACTTGATCTAACTAGTGCCAAAGGTTTACTTTGTAGTAGGCCCAGGATAGGGAGGTGGCTGTTTTCTGTTTTTCAGTTTGTGCACTTTCTCTCTGTCTTTGTGCATCAAAACTCCAGCCATTTCAGGTGAAGAATTTTATGAGTCAATAGGATCTTAACATGAGTAATGGAGGGATGGATGATAAGTGTATGGCACAATTCGACTGAGTACTGTGTACCTCTTATTTCTGCATGTCTAATTTCTGTGCGCTTTCTTTTTCAAAGCCAGCAATAATAGGGAGCTGCCTTTCTCATTAGAAAAGAGGAGGATGCCTAGTATGGAAGATGTATGGCAACTTCTCATGAGGCCAAGATACTGTTGCCCAATGCAGACTATCCCCTTCTTTTCCTTTTCCTACAGGTTTGAAATCCCAAATTCTGTTGCCTTCTTAGAAGTGTGTATGTTTGTTGTATGTACACTTGAGCCAGACTTTTGTTCAGATATCATACTGTATGCTTGCTCAGAACAGTTTCTGCAAAGTCAGTGGAGAAAACATTTGTGTTGTTTTTCAAATCGCCATATCCATCTCCTTTCTAAGGCTCATGAAGTATGGAGTATCACTGTTTACAACTGATGTTGTAAACTAACTAACTTCTAACTGTGGCTAAAAAAACCTGTGTGCATACATAGACATGCCAGTACATGTTGTTTGGTTCCATGTGAAAAGCCATATTCCATATGAAAAGCTGGGTTCAGGATTTTGCACGCATCCTGAAATAGCACTTTGGGTCAGAGTTATGGATTTTAAAAAAAGAGTTGACATAGCACACTTGTACATGTAATCTTAGTCCCTATGGATATGTTGAGAATACGTGAAAACTGTTTGGCTGTGCTAACTGACTTTAATCTTTAGAAATTGTATGCTACCATTTAAAATGGGTTACTCCAAGGGTTCTTTTACCATAGATATTCTCCAGCCAGTCTTATTGCAATGGTAGGAAAACCGTATTCCAAATGGGAGGTGATTTCTGTCCTTTCCTTCTGAAGATGCCATTTCCACTGCCCCCCACACAACACTAGAGGAATTTGCTGAACATTGCCTTGCTTCAGAAGAACAGAAACCTTTGATTGAGCACGGGATCAAGTCAGGAAGGCCCGTAAGGTCTTGTTTTCTCTGCTGTTAAGTCATCAGCTTCAGAAAACCTTTACTCTGCCATGTCATAAGCTGGTAGACTTGCAGACGCTTTTGAAAACAGGAAATCTCTGACCATGCTGCCCTCTTGTGGAACCCTCAAAAACAAAACATAAGGAAAAGGGGAATGCTGGTTCCTGGTTTTTCAACAAAGGCTAATCTTAAATTACCACCTTCTTTATATAGGTACTAGTGTGGCCCTCTCTTACTTGGCAAATGAAGATGTTCCGCACCTTTGCCCTTTAGAAAAGGATGCCTGTCAAAGGCCACTTCCTCTTGCAAGTGATCAGAGTTTTGAAAAGTTACTTTTTAAAAGTACGCAACTCCCAGAATCCCCTATGCGCATCACACCAGTGACCATGAGATTGTGAAACATGGTCCAAAAAAGCAACTTCTCCAAGCTCTAGCATCCATAACACAAGCATGCAAAATGATTTCCACCCCAGACTTCCTTTGACTGCATTTGCTGCTTCCATAACTGCCCATGAGAAGGGTGCTTTTCTTTCCTTAATCCAAGCTGTCAGGGATTTTTGGTTTCGTTTCCTTCCCCCACCCCACAATGAATATTTCTCCAAATCTTTTTTTTTCTCAGAGGCTTTCATCCATTGTTTGTTGCAAGTAAATCTAAACTCCTTTTTAAATTCTGTGTTTTTTTTCTCCCAAACTAAAAATAAAAATAAAATAGAGGAATCTTTACTGAGCTGTGTTAAGCTGAGGAAAATTATTTTTTTTACTTGCTGACATGCTATATTTTAGCAAAATAAAAATTGTGTATTAACTAAATATATATATATATATTTCCATTGTTTAAGACTATGAAATGGGTAACTGAAATAGAAAATATCTTCCCCCCCCCCCCTCTTAGATGCATTTCTGCAAAAAAAAAAATGCATCATATCAATATTTCATCTGGAGAAAGTGAGGGGAAAATGACTTTCTCTTTTTATATTGTACTTTGCAGGGAGAGGGAGGAGGTGTTATTGAATAAACCAAAAAAAAATCATCCAAAACTATAGGAATGGCCTTTTTGAGGTTTGTATGCATTATGGCAAATTTAGTCCTGTTTTGTATAAATAATAGTGTTTAATATGTATTTCCCAAAAATAAATGTTTCAAATGAAAAATGTGGAAAAACTCTGCGTACATTTTTTAAAGGGCTGAGCCTGTTTGCCCAAATGAAGCTATTCCAGCCTCCATGTCAATAGTAAATTTCAAAACATTGCCAGGAACTCACTATCACAGTTACAAAAGCAAGTGATTTGTGTTTGCAATCCTTATGTATTCACAGTCATGGTGCTATTGCCATAATTTGGAAACCCTAATCCTGCCTTCTGCTTTAAGCAATAGGTATGCTCTCCTGTTCATCAGGGCACCGCATACTGACATTTTCTCCCCCTTTTTGCCAGTAATCTCCAGTGTGAAGAGGGTTCCTGCTTCTGACATGGCACCAGAGATTGCTGGTGTGTGTGTGTGAAAATATCAATATTTACTTCACAGATATCCATTGCTCACAATGGCTGCAACCCAGGATTGTGGGTGCCGGACTGGGAGATGCTCTGACATTGGCCATTACTGCAAAATGGGTGCACTTGAGAGAGAGCTTCCAAAGGAAGACAGCTAATCACTAGAGCCTTCAGTATCCCCTGTGGCTCCTGCTCACACCCTATTGAGAACTTTACATTTATACCCTGGGGATAGGATAGAAGTTTGTTTTTTGGTTTTTTTGCATACATGTAATTTTTAATTGTGAAAAATTTTACTTGCCAAAAACAGATACCTGAATGATCAGGCGGATAGCCAAGAGAAGTTGTCTTCACATATCTTCAGCTATGAAAAGTCACCAGACATGACACAACTCCACTTAATGGCCTAGTCTCACTTTCACATGTGTAAAAACCAAAGCCAGATGTCAATGTGAGAAGTGGAAGGTTGCATACAGTGACAAACTTTAATCACAATATCTTATCATGCCCCAAATTTCAGGTTCAGTAGACATGTCAAAGTCCAGCCGTTTCTGAGTTCTACTGTGAATGGCCACATCTAAATCATGTGTCTGCCAAAAGCAGCACCATAAGTCCATCACAATTACACTGTATCCCAATATTTCTAGGTAAATGTTATCCACATGCTTGAGCCAAGAGAAGAAGACGAGAAATGGGAATGCATAAGGACAATTCCGAAGAGACGCTAATAAATTCCTCATTGCCGTCTTGTATTGCTTCTCTAGCAGACTTGTGTTGAATCATCAAAGTGCATCACCATGAATTGCTATTGCTGATTACACAACCTTTCTGGGTAAATAGAAACAATCAAGGATTCTGGATAAAAAGGAAGAAGAGCAGAGGAATGTAGTAGCACTTTTAAAACTAACTGGTTTTTGTTTTTACATATGCTTTTGTGGCTATAAACCTACCTCTTTGAATACAATACTGAGAGGTATATTTATAAAGACTAAAATGGTATTGCAGCACAAGACTGCCTGAACTTGAGCTGGTGCTGTGAGGTTCATCCTTTGACGAAATGGTAGCTGAAGAGAATTTACAGTAGACTAAAGGCCTAATTCTGTCTCAACTGGGGTCGATCCATTGAATCATTTTTACTTACTGAATGGCACAGCGTTTATGTAGATCTGACTGATTCAGTGGATCTATTCTGTTGAGATGGACTGCAGGATTCAGGTCTAAAATAGTATCTACTAAATTGTTTTTACATCAGCTTATCTAACAAGTGTATACTCTTGAGAATATGTTGTTTATTAACTGAATATGAAAATGCTGCCAAAAGATCTAATGAGGTCAAAAGTGGCTAATTTATTTTTAAACTTAGATTATTGACCAACATTAGAATTCAGCCTTAATAGCACAGCCATCCTAGAACCTGTCAGCTGTGCTGTTGACATAAAGAACAGATAAGTAAGTCTTTGGTTTTTATAAGAGTGCACTTTGATAAAATTAACCCAATCACATGGAAGCCAAATAAATGTCAGGAGGTTTTTATCTGAGGTTGTGAGCCAACTAGTCAATATATTTGGTGATGGAAACACAGACACTGTAATGCAAGCATCCTCAAGTTGTTGCCCTCCTGCTGTTTGGACCTCCGACTCCCAGAATTCCTGGACACTGAACAAGCTGGCTAGGGCTTCTGGGAGTTGGAGGCCCAAATAGCTGGAAGGCCACAGTTTGAATGTACAGTTTGTAATAAATAAAGGAGATAGTGATGTACATGGAAATCAGGTCTCCATACAATTTTTCACCTTCCATTTGACACCCTACCTAAAGTAACAGAAAAAGACAAGGATACATGTACATAAGGTTGCCCTTGGATGCTAGCTGTTTCTGTCCTCAAACCAGACACTTAGGAGATACCATTTGAGTTGGGGGGGGGGAGCAGAGAAAGGGATCTGTTCAGCATGAGTGGCCCCATTGCATTATTGCTGTTCCTATTTAAAAGAAGACCTGTGCTATAAATAATATGAATAAAAAAAGAACATAAATAATTAAAACAGCTCAGAGTGAGTGTCTCCTGGAATGACTGCCTGATTTAAAAACTAATTACTTGGAAGGTAATCACCACCAGAAACTGCATATATTTGCCCACAATGCTGCTCTGCCTTCCTTCTCTTCACTCCTCTCCCCTTAAATTCCTTTCCTTCTAATCATTTTTCTAGACATCAATATTCAAACTTATCTCTCATCCACATCACACAATAAACTGAACCGGATGCTTCCATTTCTCTGATTAATAACTCCATTGGAGTCTTATTCCCAATTGCCATAAATCCTCCCTAGGAGTAACAATACACAAGTGTTTTGGTTTCCAAGGACAC